CGGGCCTCACAGGGCTGCCTGTCCGCGGGGGCCGTTGCGTTCCTCTCGGTGCAGGGGTCGAAGGCTCCGCATTTGCCGCCGCTCCCCTCGGTCTGGGAGGGCAGGGAGGACTCAGGATGGACTTAGTGGCAGACGGAGGTCAGACAGATCGAGGATCAGAGTGGGTGGGGCTGGTCGATTTGGCGGATTGGAGGTCAGGCGTCAAATGAGGGGCTGGGGTCAGAGGCACCTCACCGTCTCCCCCTTGGTGCCGCACCATCGCTTAATGAGAGTGCTGCTGTTGGTGGCGTTGCCTGTGGCGCTTCCCATAATCACGTTGGTGTCCAGCTGGGAGACAGAGCGGTGGTGATCCTGTGCTGGACACTCCCTCAGGACTCACCTGGGGCTCAGGTGCTGACAGGGTCCAGTCCAGCCCAGCTGTGCCCGCTTACGCCTCCTCCTCCCCCAACCCAATGCAGGGCCCAGACCCTCCACCTCAGTCTCATCTAGGGTAGGGCCTGGGTCTTCGCGTTCTCTCCTCCAGTGTGCTCGGACAAACCGGGCCCCCCAAGGTGGCAGCCGTCCTCACCTGCACGATGAGGTGTGTGAGTGGCTTTGTCAACACCTTGAGGATGTCCGGTGCCTGCACCCCGGGCTGCAGGCTCGTGGCGCCCAGGGCCAGCTCGCTGAGCCTCTGCAGCATGGCTGTCGCACTCTCCAGCGGCAGCAAGATCAGCACCGTAAGCCAGTTGAAGATGCCATGAACAGCCGAGCCGCTGAAGGCCCTGTAGCCACATGGAGTGGGCTGGTCGGGTGGCCTTGGCTATGCCTGCCACTGCAGCCCCTGCCCCCTGCCCTCCCACCCTAACTCACCTCTGAAACTCATCCCGGTCTCCCGACTGTGCCATTGAGACCAGGGTGCTGGTGATGGACGTGCCCACGTTGACACCCATGATAATGGGCACAGACGCCTGGACTGTCAGCACTGTGGGGGTGTCGCATTAGCCTCCCTGCCCACCCTACCACCCCCACTCCCCTGGGGAGGGCAGAGGCACATACACTTGGAGGCCACCATGCTGACTACGATGGAGGAGGATGTGCTAGAGCTCTGCACAAGGACTGTGACCAGTACACCAATGACCAGTCCAGCCACAGGGTTGGACAGCACCACGTTGTCCTTGAAGATGTTTCCAGTCACTCTGCCTGTGCCCAGGAGACAGGTGCATTGAGGCTACGAAAGGCTGGTGGCCCACCCCCGCCCGGGCCGCCTCTAGTCACTCACTGCCCAGCAGCTGGAAGGCAGAGCTGAGGGTGTCCAGGGAGCAGATGAAGAAGTAGAGGCTTCCCAGGAGCCCCCAGGCTTTGAGGAAGCTGATGACCACCCAGCCAGCCATGCTGAGCTCTGAGGACACAGGGCATGGCTGTCCTCACCCAGACCTTCATCCTGTCCAGCACCCCTCCCAGGCCCCTCCCTCCTCTGGCCCCCTAGGACCCCCGTTCTGTCCCACCATGGTAGGGCCCTATTTCCTCCTCTTCTGCAACCCCCAGTGCAGAGCCTGAGCCCTCCCCTCTTACGCTGCCCAGGGCAGGGCCTGGGTCCCCCACACTGTGCTCTCTCCTGTGTTCCCTTGCAGAATGGCCAAGCCAACCGCCCCGGGCCTGCCAGAAGCGTAACCATGAGCAGGTGGAGGAGGAGGGGAGGGTCTCCATCTCAGGACAGGGCAGCCAGCCGAACGGAGGGGCACTGGTCTCCCAGGCAGGGCCCTGCACGGCAGGTTTCCCTGAGGCTTGTTTAGGCAAGCCCCCACCCTGCCCTCTCTCCCCAAGGATCCGGGGAGTGGGAGGCCTATCTGCCGCTCCAGTACCCCCAGTACCTTTCCAGGACTGGCCAATGTCCTTCAGCTGAAGAAGGGCCCAAAGGTCTGTGCCCCCCTTTTCCAGGCCTGGGGCAGAACTGGAGGTCCCTGCAGGGGTCGGAGCCAAGTCAGGCTGTTTCCAGGACCCCCACCCAGGGCAAAAGACGATGAGGCACAGGGGATTAGGGGGAAGACAGGGATCTCCAGCTTGTGTGGCCCTGACCAGTGTCGTCTTGAGCCCAAGGGGGCACTCTAGGACACGAGCTGGAGCCCCTCTCTCCCTTGCCCAGTGCATGCTATCAGGAGAGGGCGGGTGGGCAGGCCGAGCCTGGGGAGCTGAGGCTTCTGGTACCTGCATTTCTCACACTCCGGTCCACCAGGTCAACCAAGTCCAGCGTGGGGTGGGGGACCTGTCCACCAGTGACGGAATTCGGCATGGATTTCAGGCAGGGACAGACCCAGGCCCGGGCCCAGATCTGCTGGAGGGAAGGGCAAATCAGAGGCATCTCTCCCCCGCTCCACCCTGGCCGAGCAAGCTGACCTGAGGCCTTGGCCACTGCCCTCCCTTCCCACTCCTTGCAGGCCTTGGTGACCTCCCCATTTCCTTCGTCCACAGGAGGATGACTACAATGACCTTGGGCGGCTGTCAGGCAAGCCCAGTCCAGTTTCAGGGGAGGCCTGGCTCCCCAGTTCCAGCACTGGTCCTGGCTGGAAGAAGGCCTGGCAAGTGGCCAAGGAGGGCACAGGGTGCTAGGGTGCTGGGTGTGGGCAGAAGTGGCCAGGATCTGGGCAATGCAATCCCGGGACCTCTTTTATCAGGTGTCACCAGGGACACTGCGGATGGTCCCGATTTAGACTTTGGCATTTGATATCAATAGGCGATGACTTGGCTTGATAAGGGTCCCACACCCCCATAATGAGGAGTAAGGCAAGGGGCTTTGGCGCCCCCATCCCTAAGGCTATTCTCCCCACAGCTTCTGCCTCTACCTGCTGGGTCTAGAAACACACACCCCCTACCCCCGCGCACATAGAGCCCTCCCCGTCCCCTGGGCTCAGTTCCCTGGGCTCAGGGCTGGGGGGCCCTTTGTGTCACCCCTCCCTCCTGCCTGCCCCAGGCTGGTCTTTCTTGCCCTTAGGTCCTGGAGGCTCAGGATGGGGCCTAAGTCCTGGGCCTGGAAGTCCCCAGCCCTGGCCTCACTGTCCCTGGGCCCCAGCCTGGTTCTAGGAGCTCCTACCTGTGTGGGTGGTGAGGGGCACCTGCAGGGAGGAGACACCAGGAGGGACCAGCTGCAGGTCAAAGATCCACTGGGTGCGCACATGATCTGCTGTGTACCCAGCCCCATTAATGTTTACCCAGGAGCTGAGGCCCCCAAGGGGATACCCTGCCTGGCCCCAAGGTCCTTGTCACCCTGGGGCTAGGAGCTCCAAGCCCCCAGCCCAACCCTCTGGAGTGCCGTTTCTCCTGGGGATGGGCTCCGAGTTAGGCCGGGGGCATTGCAGGGCAGGAAATTGGCCCTCAGTACTGGACGTCCGTGAGGAGGCATCTGTGTGACCTAATGGACACTCCACACCCACCCAGGCAGGATGTCCCTGCTCCAGCTGGGGCCGCCTGGGGGCCCATGAGAAGTCTGCCCAGTGCCCTGCGTGTTCCTCAGGGCTCTGCAGATCTTATTCTGATAGGAGGTGGGAGGGAAGCCCTTTGCACCAGGTGGGTGAGGAGGATACTATCATGAGAAGTCTGCCCAGTGCCCTGCGTGTTCCTCAGGGCTCTGCAGATCTTATTCTGATAGAAGGTGGGAGGGAAGCCCTTTGCACCAGGTGGGTGAGGAGGATACTATTTTTTGTGTGGCCCAGGAAGGCACCGGCCCCTGAAGTCAGCCAGTTCAGATCCAGGTTCAGAGCAGGACTGCACTGGGCAGCTGCTCCTGGAGCGCTTAGCCTCGGTGGTGGCCGGCAACGGTTGAGGGTGTCCTGTCTCGATCTGCAGAGGGAGGGCAGCGTCCTTTCCGCAGGCCACATCAACCAGATCACTGCCTAACCCCCACCAGCACACCTCTCCCTGGCTGAGCCTGCCCAGCCCCATCGCTGGTGGGTTGGGGCCGGGGCCTCCCCTACAGGCCTGGTCTTCCCAGGAGACCTTCTGGCCCCAGCGCCCTGCTCTGCTGGCCACCCAGCTGCATCACTGTGAGGGTTGGGGGACTTTGCCCCAGAGAAGGGGGAGGCTTGGAGTGTCCACTCAGCAAGTTCTCTCTTCCCTCCCCACCTGCCTCGTGCTGCCCCCCCAGGGACTCCCGAGTGACAGCTCCTTCCTATGGGGATGAGGATGTTGCAGCCCTGACTGGGGCTGTCGCCAGCATCGATGGCCTCTGGCACCTGATCTAAGGATCTGTGCAGTGGCTACTGGAAGTCAGGAAAGGGCCCAGCATGGGATCCACCAAGTTGACCTGTGAGACCTCAGGCAGGTCCGGACCCTCTGTGGGCGTCAGAGCTGGCCCCACCCATGGCCTTCTCCTTTGATGCCTGTCTATGTGCCTGCAGGGGGCCCTTCTGGAACAGTGCCTGACACACAGTGGGAGCTCAATGAACTTTGTTGAGTGGATGAACTTCGTAGGGCTGCCACGCAGGTCGGGGTGAAGGCTGTGGCCCTGCTTGCCGCCCTTGCTCACACTTCTGGGACATTTTATAGGAGAGGAGACCTGCTCTGGTATGGCCCATTCAGGAACAGCCTTTGCCTGGCCTGCCCCTCTGGCCTGCAGCCCAGGCCCCTGGGACTGGCCACCAGAGCCTCTCAGAAGTCATCCTCTGAGCTGAGTCCAGGCCTGGGAGGGGCTTAGAGATGACACAAACAGCAGTGTCCCCGCTGAGCAAACACAGGTTAGCTCAGGGTCTGGGAATTCTGGCTGGGATAAGTAGGAGGTCATCAGCTTCCTGTGGAGTCTCATGGCACTATGGCCATAGCCCCCAACCTCAGGCTGCGACATGGGGATGTTCATGGCTGCGGTGGCACCCCGTGCAGGGCCACATGGGGTTGCATCCAGGATGCCCTGCCACCAGGTGGTTCTGTTACCCCTGCAGGAGTGTGAATGGCCAGAGCTCAGACCCCAGGTCTGCCCTGGGGGTCCCAGCAGAGGCTGCCACAGCCCCAGTAGCAGCATCTGGGCCGGGAGAAGTGAGGCTGGGGGCCCAAGGTGGGGCAGAGCCTGGATGGCTGCTGCGTGATGGTGGCGCTGCCTTTGAGGGGTGCTGGGGCCCAGGACTCCACTCTTGATGGCTCCCGCTCAGCCTTGACTGCCAGGAAGGCGGCCAGGTCAAGGTCCAGCATGGCCACCCCTCCGCGGGGCATGGGCGTGCTCTGGCGGCACTGGGGGCAGGGGATCCAGCGCTGCTCGAGTGCTGGTGTGTCCAGCCGCCGCACGCACGCCTGGCAGAAGGTGTGGCCGCAGTAGAGGCGGCGGGGCAGGTGCCTGGAGAGGTCATAGGCCGAGTAACAGATGACGCAGTCACTCCGCCACATGCCAGCGGCTGTCCCCTCCTCTAAGGCCTGGGGACCCTCTGGCTGCAGCATCCTAGGGGAGGTGCGCGGGGAAGCCAGTGGTGGGCAGCAGCACAAGGCACAGCCGTCCCAGCCATCTCTGCAACCCTGCATGGACTCTGAAGGGACGGGATGCTGGCCCCAGGAGCCTACCCCAGGTGACAGGAGCCAGTTCTGAGGGGTTGGTAGGTGCTTGGAGAACTGAGTGGGAGGGTGGTGGCCAGTAGGGCGAGCAGACACCAGGGTCTGGGCACACCCCTGACTCCTGTGGCTGCCAGCCAGGCAGCATCCTGTCCCACTGTTGGGTCCTCTTCCATGGCCGCTCCCCACAGCCCTGGGCCCCCACCCACCCAGCCCACCTGAGCCCCAGGCCTCTCTTACCTGCATCCGCTCCACGGGGTGGCTAAGCCTGGGCAGAGGGTGGCCAAAGGGGGTTGGGGACCTAGAGCACTCTGCAGCTCCCTCTTTGGGCTCGCATTACTAGCCCCAGCGTGGGCAAGTCAGCAGGGAGGCAGGTGGTGTGCTGCAGGTGGGAATGGGCTCCCCTTTCACCACAAGGCACTTGCAACTGGATCTAAAAGCCCCACCCCCGCTGCAGGAGATAAGGTGCCCCTCCGGCATCCCTCCCCTGCTCAGACGGAGATCCCAGGCCTGGCCTTGCAGTTCTCCTCGCCAGTGTCCTGCCCTCCCCCGCTGTCCTCCCCTCCCACACTCTCATACCGTCCCCACCCCCATACTGAAAAGCTTTCCTCCATGGCCTGGGTGGTGCCTGTTGCAGTTCTCCTCGCCAGTGTCCTGCCCTCCCCCGCTGTCCTCCCCTCCCACACTCTCATATCGTCCCCACCCCCATACTGAAAAGCTTTCCTCCATGGCCTGGGTGGTGCCTATTTTTCAGACTTCAGTTCACATGTTGGCTCCTCCAGGATGCCTGCGGGGAACCCCATTGGCTTGGCCCTGAGGGCCCCTGCCCCTCTGCAGGCTCTGGCACAGTGTCCGTGTCCGCGTCGATTTGTGTGACTCTTCACCATCACCTTCGTCCCTCTGTGAGCGGAGTCTCTTCCTATTATGGGACAGCAGCCAGCCCACTCGGCCCCGAGGTGGCGCTCAAGGGCCATGTGTGGAGATTCCCCACTCACAAACGGGGACCACCCGCATCAGCTCTGGGAGGTGCAGGGTGCTGTAGACAGCCCCAGAGGCCCCCACCGGAGGGCATCTCCCAGTTGGTGTCTGCCCGTCTGCGGCCTCTGGGCCAGCCCAGGGACGTGCAGATTCCAGGAGTTGGGGCCAGTGTTCCTAGTTATGGGGACCTCACGCAGAGTAGGCTTGGGAGGCTGAGAAGGCTTAGGACGGGTGGGCAGGGCACCCAGGACCACTTAATCTCTTCTGGGAGGAAACCAAAGCCCGGAATGGCCTCTCCCTACTCCTACCCTCCCCCATGGGAGTTGCCTCCAGGACTGGTTGGACGGGTCCTGTCGTTGGCCTGGGTGGGGTCATTCCCTGGTGGGGGCCAGCCATGGAGCAGAGACAGGGAGCCTGGGACACCAGCTCCCTGCGCAGAGTCAGAGGAATGACCCGTCTATCCCACACCCAGAGTCCTCTGCACGCCACGCACTGTGCATCAGGCGAGGGCTGGCATGGCACAAGGACCTGTCCATCCTGCGTGGCCAGCTTGGACTCCACCTCTGCTCTGTGTCTCTGCCCCACCCCGGAAACGTCAAGGTGCCCGGTGCTGATCTCACCGCTCTCCACCTGCCCTGGCATCCTGGCCTCCCCAGTGGTGAGGTAACACTCAGGCCAAGCAGTGTGGTTCCTCATACGCAGCCCCAGACAGGCGTCCCGTGCTGCTCCCATTGACGGGGACCTGGGTTGTGTGTGGGCCAGGCCAGCGCCATGTCGCAACCTCCTCCCAGCCCCTTCCCTGCCTCCCCTTCAAGGCCTGGCTCCAGCCACCTCCTCCAGGAAGCTCAGTCCCTGAGACAGGACAGCCAGTGAGCAGCTGGCCTCGCCACACGGCTGATGTACAGGAATTAGATGTTTCATGGGAAACCAGAAAAACATCCCTGCCAAGGTTGGGAGATGACTCATGGTAGGCAGGGCTCCCTCCTGCCTGCCCGGGCCCTTCCGTCCTGAGCTCCCACTCCCCGAAACCTGCCAGCACCAGCCCCACCCACCACCCTCTGCCAACCTGATCCTGCTTTTGGAGGCCTTTCTCGGGGCTCCCCATCTCCCCCACATCCCCATACATGGTATCCTCCTGCTGTCTGACCATGGATTGACCTCATCTCACAGCCTCAGCCCCGGCCCTAGGGAGTGCAGGGCAGGTCAAATCCAGGCCTGGCCAGGCCACGGCGGTGGACACTCCCACTCCCCATGCAGCCTCTGGGTAGAACTGAGACCCACAGGGCAGGTTAGAGTGTGGATGTCATGAGGCAGTGGCTTCCCCAACCCTGGAATGACCCACAGAGGCTGTGTGTGTGTGTGTGTGTGTGTGTGTATGTATACAAAGGGCAGATGCTGTTGTCCAGCCTGGGACCCCTCCCAAAGGGCCAGTGGCAAAGAAGAGTCGCCGGGACAAAGCTCACCCTGCTTTATTGCCTGGGTTTTGAAGGAGGTGGTCAAGCATGTCCCATCATGGCCAGTACCTGGGGCTCCAAGTCAAGGGGCCCAGGGTGAGCTAGCAGCCTTCCTGGTGGGTAGGTGCCACTGTCCAGGGCAGAAAGTGGCCAATGCCCTGACAGTGGCCACTCCAAACGTCCGGGCACTACCTTGGCCACCGCAGCAGAGGCCTGGTCCACAGCCCCGGCAGGGTGGTGGGTAGGCTAGGAGATGACGCAGCAGCAGCTGTGGCAGCGGCAGAAGCGGGGACAGTGGCAGCAGGAACAGCAGGGGCAGCAGCAGCAGTGGTGGGCAATGTCATCCCCACGCCCCATGGGCGGCCGGCCAGTGTAGGTCAGTCCTGTCGGGCGCTGCCCGCTGCTGTAGGGGTTGCCGGGCTGTTGCCAGGCCTGCTGGCTGTGGAGGGGGACAGCACCCTTGGCGCCCTTGGGTTCTGGGACTTCGGTGGGCTGCAGGAGGTGGGCTGGCTCAGGGGCACAGGGCCCCACGGGCAGAGGCTGCATCTCTGAGGACGAGGAGGAGGAGGAGGGGATCACCTCTAACTGCTGCCCCAGGTCAGGCCGCAGGTGAGCCCTGGGGATGCTGATGTGGGTGTAGGGGTTCTTGACGACCATCTCGTGGGGGTCCATGGCCCAGCCTGCCGGGTGGGCAAGGAGATACAGAGAGCAATTTGGTGGAGGGGCAAGACTACTCCAGAGCCTGCAGTCCAAGAAGTCCCCCACCCCAGGAAAAGCCTGCCTTGCCAAGTGCCAGCCTCCTTGAGGTGTCCAAGTGTGTGCACAGGCCTGCGTGTCATGGAAGTGAGCCCGAGTGTGAGTGAGCAGTGGGGCCAGCTGCTACCCCCCAGGAGTGGCACTGTCTCTGAGATGGAGCTGTGTGGGGGAGGCTGGGAGACACAGCTGAGCTGGTGCTAGGAAGGGGAACCCAGGGGCTGTCCCCGGGGTACTCCTGAGCGCAGGGAAGTCCCTATGGCCAAGACCTCACCTGCAGTGGCAGCAGTGGCAGTCTGTCCGCTGGGTCCTCCAGGCTCCAGGTCCCAGTGCTGGTGAGTTGAGCCACTGGCAGCGGGCTTTTCCCTCCTTGGGAGGGGCGGGGCCGTGGGGCGGGGCTCATAGATGGGGTTCCTAAGATCCCAAAAGGCCCCAGCAACTGGAGCACAATAGTTGGCCCACCTGTCATTCTCAGGTGGGTGGCGGCCAAGGCCTGGGCTCTGAGGGGCACTGTCAACCTGGGGTGACTCAGCCACAACGCATCCAGTGCTTGCCCTGGGCCCTGCAGGGCATCTGCAGCTCTGCAGGGAGGAGGCCAGGAGGTGAGCCTGGGGTCACGGCCCCAGAAAGGAAGTGGGGTCAGGTCCTCAGTTCTGGGTCCAGGGTCCCCAGCCATTGCCCACGCACCTCAAAGCCCCTACTGGGGCAGAGTTCCTCTCTGTGACCCCCAGCCTCTACCCAGCAGAGAACAGCATGTTTGAGAGCACAGATTACTTGGAAGGTTTTCAGCTTTTTTAACTGATAAAAAATGTTTGCTGTACACACCTTTGTGGGTAAATCTTACTTATGATTGGTGACACGAGCTTCAGGCACAAGTGACATTTCTACCTTATTTCTGAAGCTACAGTTTCCCTCTGGTTGGTGGGTTTGGGGACCACATGCTCCCTCGCCCCTTCCGCAGCGACCCCATCCTCGGCCCCGGCACCTCTCCCTCGTGTAAGGTGATGCGCAGGGTCGCCGTGGGGCTGGGGTTGTGTGACAGCGGGTGTAAGCGCTCGAGTCCGGGTCTGGCCCTCGTGGGCTCCCCCTGGGGCGACCCGGGGCAGTAGGGCGCCGCCTGGACCCCGCACTCCAGGCCTTGGCGCCCGAGGTAAGCACCAGGAAGGGCGAGATCAAATCAGACGAGGCCCGGAGGCCAGGATGACCGGGGTGACCTGCGTGGGGCCGGTCAGACCGGTCCGGACGCGAGTTCTGGCAACCCGGCACCAGACGTGGGACGACTGGGTCTGGGGTCTCCGGACTTCGGAGGCAGACGACACAGGCCCACTGCGCAGGCGCCGAGAGCCTCGCGCGCCTCTCCTGCAGACTCCGCCCCTTGCTGCGCTGGGACCCTGGCGCATGCGCAGACCAGGGCGGGGCGGCCGACGGGAACTGTATTCCCCAGAAGCCTCCGCGCTCTAGGGCTTCCGGCAAGGCCCGGTTCGGAGGCACAAGTACTCGGCTTGGGACGCCCCTGCTCTGAGCAGCGAGGCCGGAGAGACCTGGGCCTGGGCGGGCTCTTGCACGGGGGCGGGGCAGGGGGCGGGGCCTTGCGAGGCCTCTGGGCGCACGTCGTGCCCTCGGGGCAGGGTGCGCTCCAAGCCCGCCCAGGCTGCCTGGTTGCCGCATCGTCATGCCCGGGCCCCTTGCCGCTCCTCCCGCTGCGCTCGTGCTCACCTGCACCTCTCACACCTGCCGTCTCTGAATGAGTCCAGACGCCCGCCCGAGGGCCATAGTCCCCGTGGGCCGGGACGCTCCTCCGGCTTGTTCTGCCCGCATGCGCGCCCTCCCCGGGAACACCGTCCCCTCTGGGTCCTGCGCCCTGCGCTCTGGGGCTCGGCCACAGTCAAGTGCAGTGTGGCCTGTGCCTGTGCGGAGAGAGGGGCTGTGGCCTGAAGGAGGCCGGGACTGACCAGAGCCAGGTGCAGGGCCCAAGGCTGAGCGCAGGAGCGGCAGGGCAGGGGACGGTACTCTGGGGCCCCCGAAGCCGTGTGTGCTTGGTTCTGCTCTCACCCGAGGGCTCCCCAAAGGCAGGGGGTGTATACCTGGGGGGCAGTGAGCACTGGCCTGAGGAGGAAGCAGGAAGGAATGGGGCCTCCCTGCTGGGTGGGGTCAGCTTAGCACACAACCGTGTGACAACGGGGCGCGTGCTGACCGGGTGGAATGCCGGAAGGGGCCACCGCACCCTGTGTAGGCGCGTGTCCTGGGCGGGCTGCCCTCCACCCCGCGTGCCGACCTCCAGCTCGTCCGGCTCTGACCCCGCACACCTCCACCACACCCGCCTGCCCGCCGCCCTCCTCCGCTCCTCGGGACCTGCTTGCCCACCCCTGCCTATGCCCCCATGCTCACATCGCCCTCTCTGAGCCCGCCAGTGCGGGGCACAGCCCGAGCCGCAGAAGTCCGGAGGCATTCCCGCTGGGGGCCGGGTGGAAGGACAGGCGGAGACCCTGACTGTAGAGGGGCACACGAGGCAGACGCAGGCTGGGGCCCTGGGAACCAGCTTCCCTGAGAGCCACCTCTGAGGTCCCCTCCCCCCTTTGGCATCGTGAGGCCTCATAACGTGCAGGAGGAGAAAAGCAGGACCTCCCTCCAGAACTGGAGCGGGAGGCTCCCCGGGACCCAGGCTCAGCCAGGGGAGGGGGCTGGGGGCGACGCGGGGATCTTGACCCGTACACAGCCCGCTGGGGAGGGCG